TGCCTATAATGGGATGCTGGGCCCGGTTCCCAGTTTGTGCCTACTTGTGAAAAAAGAGGATATGGTTGTATCTATGGGACGTTGGACCCGGTTTCTGTCTCTTATACACATCTAGATGTGTATAAGAGACAGAACTCGCTCACGCCGGACACCACGTGTTTGCGTGTGACGACACGACAAAAGAGTTCACATACCTTTCCAAGTTTTTGGAGTTTTATGTGAAGGATCCGAGGAACAAATGCAGGTTCGAAAAACCCCAAGTCGAACACCGCAAGGACATGGACATTTACTATAAGCTCGGCAGGAAGAGGGAGAAAAAGGGGCTTACTTTTTCAGTGACGCTCCACGGTCGGCGGTTGATAACGAATACATCATCAGGAAAAGTGAACTCGAGATAGCAATGAACGAGTACCACGGATCGCACATGGGTGCTTTCCACATGTTCGTCGCACGTTGTGAGCATCTGTATTTCGATATGAAGAAAAGAGCACTGTCATGCAGGGACTATGCGGACTTGGCACGTAAAGCGGGGAACTCCAACAACATCGATTGTGACGAAGACACGTCAGACTCCGACATGGACGTTCCGTCGCGTGCGAGACGACGTTCCGCGCAGGGAGCACGTGCCGAGGAGCCGCAAGGGAGCACCAACGCAGAAGCGGAGAAGGCGAGGTCGAGTTTGGGAGCGACACATGCTAGTGAGGGAGATATGGAACATAGACTGAATGCAAGCGGAGAAAAGAATGGTGTATCGACGAACCCGGTGGGTGCGAGTGAGGGAATTGTTAACTCATGGGGCAACACAGGGGAAAGAGAGAATGGGTGTGAAATGACCCCGCTGACAGCTGGACCATCATCGACACATGCACCGCAGGCCGAGCAGCGAACGCTCACGTTGATGGACACAGATGAAGATGAAGGCATGGATATGACAGCAGTCATGCCGAAGCTCGTGCCAGGAAAACCGTTACCTCAAGGCTTTGCTCAAGACCCTTCAGTGCCATACTTGCTGCAGGACAAGTACAAGGAGTCATCGGAGGAGGACTGGGGTCATCATATTCTCTGGCATGAGGGCGTGTTCGAACCGTGCGTGTTTGCGGGCAAGTGGCA